CCGGAGTTCTATTAGGCGTGATGAAACTCCCAATAATGAGTCTCTTCCAAATAAAGGAAGAATGCATAATTGTCCAATGTAATGAGAAGTAAAGATCCTCGTTTAATGTAGAGGGTTTTGGCACTTGATTTTCACTTTCGTATAAGAAAATTATGCACTTGAACTATAAGACGTTGACTGGTACCAAGAATGAGGTTGATGTTATACGTGTGAAGATGATTTCAAAAAAACCCTTATTTTGGAAGCCAAAGTTGAGTCCTTCTCTCTCAGTTGAATGTAAAAAAGGCGGGTGTGAACTATTCTAATACAAGATAGAAAGAGTACGACTACGGTTATTCGCAGCTGTCAAAGAGTGTTTATGGTCTTCTAATGTGGTGACACCACAGGGGTTCGTCACATAGGAAAATTAGAAAGAGAGCATTTATTACATCGTCTAATTTTAGCACATAGGGAAAATTAGAAAGAGAGCATTTTGTTTCGTGGGGGTGTGAGCTCTTCTAGTGTCATAAAAGATTTCTCGCTTCTATTTGTATGTTTTTAGAAATACAGTATATAGACGTAGAAGGATACAAAACGCAGGGGTCTTTTATATATAAAAGAAAGATGTTTAGTTGCGCGACAAAAGGGCGGAAATTTAACATTTAAGAGATTATTATTTAGATGCGTAACAAAAACACGGGTGTTTGTTGCAAGAAAAAAATGCAACTCGGTATAGATTTAAGAATTCTTATAATATGAATATTAAAGTTACGGTGACGTGACAATTGCCTGTAGCACAGAAAGGACAAATCACAATTTTCTTTACAATTTCTGATTGCTCAAATTTAAAGTTGCCAAAGAATTATTTCTGGCAAATTGATTTTCGACCATTTTCATTTTCTAAAATAATAACATTCAAACAAATAAACATTCCGCAAAATTAATTTTTTTTCTAATTTTGTTTCTGCAAAATTAATATTGTACAGAATAAAATACTATTAAATCATAATTCTAAAAAATTTATTTTAGAGCTTATTCATGCGTCCCGAATAATTTAAATAAAAATAATTATTTTTCTTTTATTAGAAATGACGATTCTGTATAATAATATAGTTGACAATTGGAAAGAAACAAGAAGTAATGATGAAATAAAGATAATGATGAAAAAAGGTGACAAGGGTAAAAAAATTGCAATCTTATGTATGTTCTTGGGACATGCAACAGTGTTCGCACGTTTTATTCAATGGATATTTGAAAATCTAAGTAATTGGAGAAGTTCAGAGTACTTCAAAAATACTACTTTATTTGTTGAAGGCTATTATCCATTTACTTGGAATTATAGTCCAGTTTTTCAAATAACTTATATTATTCAATTATTTGGTATATATTTAGGAATGGTTGCCTACTCTGGCACTGACGCTTTTTTCAGTCAAATTGTTTTACATCTTTCTGGGGAATATCTTATTTTAAGTATAAAACTCACAGATATTGTAAAAACTTTTAAAATTACAAAAGTTGATTATAAATTTGATAAAAAATTTGGCAACATTGTTGATCTTCACGACCATATAAACAGGTTCTTAAATTGTGTTCTTATATTATTTTACGTAATTGTGAAATTTATATATGTCTTACGGTTAACGTGCTTTTTGGTAACAATATAAATACCGTCGTTGTCCCAGTAGCTGTCCATTTTTTACGATTCGGGAGTCCCTCAAGGATCAGTGCTTGGTCCTTTATTATTTTTGCTTTTTACAAATGGAGGAATGTTCTCAAATACTCTAAACATATGTATTTTGTGGATGATCTACAAATTTATATTCACTCTAGTCTGGATGATTTAAAGAATAACCTTGACTTAATGAATGAAGATGTGAAATCAGTATTAGATTGGGCAACAACAAATATTCTTAAGGCCAGGTCCTAGTGAGGCAGCGCCATCTACATTGATACTAAAATTTTGGAAAATTTTCAACAGCCTTTTCTTGAAAACAAGATGGTAAAATGCTTTTTCCTTTATGGATAATTGATTATTGGCAAGTTATACAACAGCTAAAACTTTTTTTGAGTTAAAATAATAAAAAAAATTTTATGTCAATAAATTAAATATGAGCACTTTTTTCACAAAAACTGTAACAGTACTTTCTCAGGAATTACAATCAAAAATGCAATTTCCATTTGGAAAATTAATAAACGCTAAAAAATACACGACCTAAGATTTACCAATCACGAAAATAACAAACAGAAATTTTATTAAACATTTAACATATTGATACTGCTTTACTAATTGTGACAGCCCTTTGGTAGATTATGTATTTCAGGTGGTTAGCAACAGCGCCAGTCTCCTCCTTTCGGCAAATCTGCGAAACGTCTGGTGACATATATAACCTGCCAAACGGCTGTCATAATGAGTAAAATATGTTATGTTAAAATACTTTTTTTTTGTTATTTTCGTGATTGGTAAATCTTAGGTCGTGTATTTTTTAGCGTTTATTAATTTTCCAAATGGAAATTGCATTTTTGATTGTAATTTCTGAGAAAGTACTGTTACAGTTTTTGTGAAAAAGTGCTCATATTTAATTTATTGACATGAAATTTTTTTCATTATTTTAACTCAAAAAAAGTTTTAGCTGGTGTATTTCTTGCCAATAATCAATTATCCATAAAGGAAAAAGCATTTTACCATCTTGTTTTCAAGAAAAGGCTGTTGAAAATTTTCCAAAATTTTAGTATCAATGTGGATGGCGCTGCCTCACTTGGACCTGGCCTTAAAATAAATTTGGATAAAACTTATTCTATGATAATTGTATTAACTTGGTACACAAATAATATCAAACTTGATAGTTACTCGTCGATTAGGATTGATGATATCACTATTCTTTTTGTTGATTCAGTTCGAAATTTGGGCATTATTTTTGGACCAACTCTTTCTTGGGACAAGCATGTTGGTAAAACTTGTAAGAGTGTTTATGCGACATTATCACAATATTTAAAATAAATAAAAAAGCCTTAACTGTTGATATTAAAATAAAACTTGTAACTTCGTTAATTTTTTTTTATTTTGACTACTGCTGTGTTGTGTATAATGATGTAACTGATGTATTAAATAACAAACTTGAGAAACTTCTTAATACATGCATAAGGTTTATATTTGGTTTAAAACAAGATGAACATGCAACACCATATTAGGGATGGCTAGTTAAGGTTGGGATGGCTTAGTGTTAGCAATAGAAGACTTTGGTTTGTTAGTTGTCTTACACATGTAATCTTAAATACAAAAAAAACCCTTGTATTTGTATGAGAAATTTATTTTTAGAGAAGATGTTATCTCAAGAGTTGTGAGATATCCTAATTTACTTAGGCACCAGCATGTAGAACTAAACAAAATATAAAGGTTCATTTGTTGTAACTGCAATTAATCTGTGGAACTCTCTTCCTGGCTCTATTACTACTATTGAAAATCCAAAAATTTTCAAGATTAAGTTGTACAAATATTTGTTTTTATTGAATGAGTAGAATCTCTTTAATCAGCGTCTGGTCACTGTTAATTTGTTTTAATTGTGTGCTTAATTTGTTATATCGATAAATTTTTACTGTTACTGTTTAAAATTGAATGAATACTATTTTATGTAACTTTCATATATATACATTGTTTATTTTATTACAAACTGTATTTAATTTGTTGTTCTCATGGCTTGCCTGGGACAAAATAAAGAAATTGAAATTGAAAACATCTCGTATAATAATTTAAATTATTAAATGTTAACTTGAAAATTAAAGTGGACGGAAACTAGGACAACCACGGTAATCTGTCATTTAGGGAAGAAATTATGTACATCTACCAAGAAAATTGGCGATAATAATAATAAATAAAAAATAAATAAATAATTTTTGATATAATTAATTAAATAATATAATTTTAATAAGGAAGTAGAAGTATAATATTCAATGTAAATAGAAATTATATATTATGATGAAAAACTAATAAAAATATATTTAGTTGCATCGCAATCCTAGAGAGCACTTTCTATTTAATGTTTCTGGTTCAATTGATCGGTTGCAGTATACAATTTTGTATGCATGGTTTTCTTATTGTTTTAGTAGGTATCATTAAAAATTTATTTTTATAAAAATATCTTCTCTTCTATTACAAATTAATTGAATTTAATTATTATCATTTCAAATTAGAATTTTAGTAATTATTTTTTCTTTCTTTCAGTATATAAATGGAAAAACTTCCTCTTCGATGTTAATTGATATCTCTTTTATATTAGTATATCTCACATATATCATGGGAAATCTTTATGTATACTGTTATTTGGGAGAACAGCTTCAGATAAAAGTAAATAATTTCTACCTAAAAATGTACATTTTATAAAGAAAACAGAACAATGTTTTAGCTGTTCAATAAAATTGCAAAATCAATTGAAATTATTTAGCTTAATTTTACAGGAGAAAAATTTGTTGGTTCCCAATAAATAATTTATTTATTTTTTTAACAATTTCTTTTTCTATACCATTATTTGATATAAAAATTATGGGTTTTTTTTTGCATTTTTTTATTTATAATATTGAATTTTTTCAGAGTTTTGCATTTGCTCAGACAGCTTATAATTGTGTGTGGTACCACTTGCCTCCTCAGAAAGCAAAATGTTTGCTTCTTCTAATGCAATCTGGTAACAGACCTGTGCCAATAACAGCTGGTAAATTTTGCGTTCTCAATTTACTTATGTTTCGAAGCGTAAGTTATATTATTATTTTCTCAAATTGTCATATAGATTTACTGAATTTTAATCAGTTATAATTATAACAGTAGTTTAATTAATTCTATAAAATAAAGTTGAATTAAAATCAAACAAATTTTGCCTAATTTTGGGGTTGAACTGAAACGGACAAATATATTTGATTAATTCAATTAAATTGTTTTCTTTTTGAAGTTATGTTAAATCATAATATAAATTCAAAAAAATCTCAATTATATTTAATAAAAAAATAAATAAATCTTTTCTTTCGTATTTCAGATAATTAAAACATCTATGGGTTATTTGTCATTTTTGATAACAACAAGGCAAAGCAGTAAATAATAATAAAAGTGTTTCAAAATGCCATTTAATTGGTAAAATAGTAAAATTATAGAAAATTATAAGAAAATAAAAACCAAAAATATTTTCTCCATTTATTTTTTTTATAAAAAGTTGTTGTTCAAATATTTTCCTTGATTATTAGTAAAGAGTAATAATAACTTGTAAAATAGAATCAATTATGTTACCCTCATAAGGGATCATTCACATACCTGTAATGAAAGCTTCAATTATATCTTTTTTTTTAAGTTTATAATAATTTCAATTAATTGCGTATTATGTTTTATTTAATACTGACGTAGAAGAAATGCTTATGAATAAGATTTTCATAAAATAAAGAGTTAATATTGTTCTTACGTTTAAAATCTGAGAGAAGATAATGCAATGAAACTAAAATTCATGATAAAAGCATTAAATGCGCATGCTCACATTTAACTTTTACAAAGTACTTAACTTTAATGACTCGTCATTAACTAAACTTTAGAAAATAGAAGAAATGATATACTTTTCTTTTTTTTCTTTTTTATTTCTACGCAGAAATGGATTCGTTCAATATTTCCTTTTTTTAAATAGTTTTTATAACAATAATTCCATCTCTATATTCTATTTAAATTTTTTTCTTTTTTTAATATATTTCTTTATTTGTTATCATTAATGTTACATCAATCAATATAAATATTTCAATCAATAAAAATTGTTTGTGATTTATTTCATATTGTAATTTTAATTAAAATGTAATAAACTAAAAAAAATTACATGATCTGATTATTGTTTGAGATCACAATGAATGACAAAAATGGTATGTATAATATAGAAGTGTGAAAATAGTGTAGAATTTTTATACTTTCTCAATCTGAAACAACGATAAGTTATATCACTCTTTTTACAATCTGTTAAATTTCACTGATTTTATTAGCACATGAACACTAATTGGATATATATGGAGCGTTTCATGCCAAACCAACATATCGATGACTTTGACATCTTCGATTTAGCTCAAATTTATTTACCATTTTGTACCATCCAAAAAAGAGCATCATGATTTATTTGAAATTTTTTCAATCAAGTCGTTTATGAGATATGAAATTTTCAAAATTCGAGAATTTTAATGATTTTTTATTTTTGAATGCTCATATAACTTCCTTAAAAATGCATCAATTTTAAATGTTTTTTTTTTCAAAATGTGTAATTTTAACCCATTAAGGACCAAATGTACGAAATTTGTCCATGAAGTTTGACTCTTGTTTTTTATGATAAAAGGTAAAAAGAAAAATTTTGCAAAACACATTTCTTATAGTTTAAGAATCGCTTTTTCAAATTCCGTAATGATAATCAACGTATGTTTATAAATAAAAAAAATTACAGGCAGTTTTTAAATAAAAAACATGAGTTTTTTAGTTTTCTTTTTTTTATTTGCGTCAGAATTCGTGAAATAAGCACAGAAAATAAAAAATATTTTTTTATAATCGAAATATAGAAAAAACAGTTCTATTAGACCACAGAAATGTTTCTACCAAGCGAAAAAAATTTTTTTTTTACAAAAGTTATTGCAAAATGATTTTTTTTTGTCATTTTTTAAACAAATGCTTGTGTCTCGTAAACGAATAGACCGATTTCAATAAATAAACACAAATGGGAGAAAATACATTTACATTTGAAATTTTTAAAAAATTGATTTTTCCTTGGTGGTGGTATTTCTGAACAATTATCTCGCAAATTTAGTCTTTCCAAAATTTTTCCAGAATTTATTTGAGTGTAGTTCAGCATCCGCTGGACCAATCAAAAAGTGCGCCATACATTTATTGTTCGAAATTTTTCCTTATTTCATTAGTGGTATTCCTGAACGATTATCTCGAAAATTTAATTTTTCGAGAATTTATTTGAGTGTAGCTCAGCATCCGCTGGACCAATCGAAAAGTGCGCCATACATTATTTGTTCGAAACTTTTTGACTATTTTTTTGTTGGTATTCCCGAGCGATTATCTCTGAAATTTAATTTTTTGAAAAATTTTCCAAAATGTTTTTTAGTGTAGCTCAGCATCCGCTGGACCAATCGAAAAGTGCGCCATACATTTTTTGTTCGAAACTTTTTCCTTATTTTATTGGTGGTATTCCGGAGCAATTATCTCGATAATTTAATTTTTTGAAAACTTTTCCAAAATGTTTTTTAGTGTAGCTCAGCATCCGCTGGACCAATCGAAAAGTGCGCCATACATTTTTTGTTCAGAACTTTTTGACTATTTTTTTGGTGGTGTTCCCGAGCGATTATCTCTGAAATTTAATTTTTTGAAAAATTTTCCAAAATGTTTTTTACACTGAGAAAACTGTTTGATATCATCTACTGAAGTTTGGTTCTCCAAACCAAATTTTTTATTTGATATATGTGCAACTAATCCGTTTGGTTCGGGCTACTAAATTTTTTCGTTGAATCATTTTGTTCGGTCTACCAAATTTTTTGTTTTGCACAACTAACTTATTGTTTTTAAGCAAACAAAAAATTTAGTTAAATGAAAAAATATTTTTCTTTTCTTAACCAAATTATTTTTTGGCTCACACTTATATTTTTTATTTTTCACTTAATTTTATCACTTTTGTTATCCTCTTTTATTCTTTTCGCTTTATATTACCTACCACCCTATGTCTACTTAAATTAATTTCTATTGCGGAAAAACCTAACACTGCTGGGGATCGAACCCTCAGACTACGCAACGCAAATCAAGAACGCTGACCACTACACTAAGAATCCTAGTGACAATGTGAGTGTAAATTATTTTCATAAAGTATACAGGCTGGAGAAAAACTTCCGTTCTTTTAACAAGCTTTATTCTCTCTGTTCGATATGCATCACTACACACACTTTTTTACCGAATTTCTGAAACACATAAAAATCCCGAAAACACTTGAATAAAACTGGACGACACGAAGAGCGAAGCATGGTTAACGTGTGACATATTTACGAGAACAGCGCATGCGCAATTGAGCATTCAGACGGTTTGGTTTGGAGAACCAAATTATTCAGTTAACAGACGCAAAAGCTTGAACGAAATTTTTGGTACAGCCAACTAAATTTCTCGATTGATTGCTTCTTTCGTTACTGTTATGTCAACTAAATTTTTGTAATCTTAACTAAAAGTGCTCCACCAAATTATTTTGTTAACATTACATTATTATTTTTCTCAGTGTAGTGTAGGTCAGCATCCGCTGGACCAATCGAAAAGTGCGCCATACATTTTTTGTTCGAAACTTTTTGACTATTTTTTTGGTGGTATTCCCGAGCGATTATCTCTAAAATTTAATTTTTTGAAAAATTTTCCAAAATGTTTTTTAGTGTAGCTCAGCATCCGCTGGACCAATCGAAAAGTGCGCCATACATTTTTTGTTCGAAACTTTTTCCTTATTTTATTGGTGGTATTCCGGAGCGATTATCTCGATAATTTAATTTTTTGAAAAATTTTCCAAAATGTTTTTTAGTGTAGCTCAGCATCCGCTGGACCAATCGAAAAGTGCGCCATACATTTTTTGTTCGAAACTTTTTCCTTATTTTATTGGTGGTATTCCGGAGCAATTATCTCGATAATTTAATTTTTTGAAAACTTTTCCAAAATGTTTTTTAGTGTAGCTCAGCATCCGCTGGACCAATCGAAAAGTGCGCCATACATTTTTTGTTCGAAACTTTTTCCTTATTTTATTGATGGTATTCCGGAGCGATTATCTCGATAATTTAATTTTTTGAAAAATTTTCCAAAATGTTTTTTAGTGTAGCTCAGCATCCGCTGGACCAATCGAAAAGTGCGCCATACATTTTTTGTTCGAAACTTTTTCCTTATTTTATTGGTGGTATTCCCGAGCGATTATCTCTAAAATTTAATTTTTTGAAAAATTTTCCAAAATGTTTTTTAGTGTAGTTCAGCATCCGCTGGACCAATCAAAAAGTGCGACATACACTTTTTGTTCGAAACTTTTTGACTATTTTTGCATGAATGGCTCCATTTCGTGGAGCATTCGCATAATGCAATCTGCCAGGTTTGTAATCCTTTTAATATCGAAAAACAAAACATACAACAATACAACAGCAATATTTTGTATTTTACTTTTTATTCTGCACGAAGTTCAAATAAATTTCCCAATTAAATTTGAATATCAACTATATCACTTCTCGGTAACTTTATCAATTTCATTGGAAATTGACTTATGTTTTTCGATATTAAAAGGATTACAACATGGAGTAGTATAAGGAGACCGAACGACGTACATTGAAAGTGGACCAAATTTTGGTAACCGCTTAGTGTCATGAAAATACGTAATGGAACACAAGCGTTCTCGTGGGAAGTATGTAAACAATGAGAAAAATTAGAAGTACGTTGAACATAACCCAAAAATACATTTCTCCTTATTTTCAAAACTTTTACAATGGCTGATTGTCCAGCTGAGTTAAACACAATCAGTGGCGCTAGTGTTCCAAAATTTGGTCCACTTTAAACGCAGATTTAACATGATCGTTCGGTCTCCTTATACTACTCCATGGATTACAACAAGCATTAGGAGATAGCATTTTTATAAATTCTTTGTTAATTTATTTAATTTACTTTAGCCTTACACTTTATTGTAATTTTATAATGAAAAAAGTGATATTTCTGAAACGAACAAGATATTTTGTGAATATTCGAATGATATCCAATACCTAACCTCAAAAATCTTTCAAAATGTCAAAAGCACAGATTTACTTTGCAGTTTACTTTTTGATAGGAAGAGCATTTGTTTAAAAAATGACAAAAAAAAACATTTTGCAATAACTTCTGTATAAAAATTTTTTTTTCCTTAATAGAATCATTTCTGTGGTCTAATAGTAGCTGATTACAAATCTGAAGTCAGACTTTCAAAATTCAAAATGGCGGATCCAATATGGCGGACATTTTTAAAAAAATTATTGGTTTTCTCCGAACCCTCATGCCAAACATGGAGAGCATGCCACAGAAATAACGCTGGTAATTTGCGGGTAATTTAAACCAATGCTAATTCACATAGACGGTGGCGCCCTCAACTAGGATAAAATTTGTTGCAGTTAATTTTTATACCGATTTTGGGGTAAAAATTCTACTTTTTTTTTAATGTGGATGTTTTTTTTACTTAAGTCTGTCTCTCTTGCACTGATGGTGATGAATTTAGCATGATGGTTTGCTCGCAGTATTTTTACTTTTGTTACTTTAGAGTGGTCGTTCTCAATAATCTGATCTGATCATCTTTAGTAATCAGCAACCCCAAAAACCTCCGAGTAATAAATTTCAAGTAAATCCAATGAAATTTTAAAAAATTGTCCGCCATATTGGATCCGCCATTTTGAATTTTAAAAATCTCACTTCAGATTCGTATTCAACGATCCCAAAAAACCCCGAAAAAAAATTTCATAGTTTATTTTCGAAATATTTTTGGATTTCATGCGCCATTTTGAATAAAAAACTAAAATAAAAATACGAATGCATATGTTTAAAGTACAACTATCGGGAAATTTTGACTACGCCATTCAAAAGAGCGACCTTAAATCCACGTCAAAAAGTAGCACATTTGGGCGTTAAAGGGTTAATTTGGAATTGAAATATAAATTTATCAATAATAATTTACAAGTGTTAAAATTTTTTTTAATTTATTTATTTGAGATGCGCTATGAAGAAAGGTACCTAAGAAAAAAAAAATTTTTAGGTTATGTTTGTAATTTTTTGAATAAAAATCAGTGTGACATCAAAGTTGCCATCCTTGACAATCTAATCAGACCCTCATTAAAATTGTTACACAAATTGTATCAGAGAGTGTTGTATAATAATTTAATAAGTGAAATTTCACTTATTCAAATTTGATGAATATATTTTCTTCAATATTTTATTTTATTTAAAAATTTTTAACTATCTCTCATTTAAAAACTTTTTTTCCTTTAGCCATAGAGATTTTTACCAAATTCTCTCGTATAAGTCTATCATGGTTTGGAGCGTGGCCATTGCAAACAAATAAAATATTATCAAGATTCTTGTTTTTTATTAGTATTACATTTATGATATTAAGTATTCTAATACCACAAGGCATTAAGTTGATTCAAGTTAAGAATAATTTGGATCTTATAAGTCAAATTGTTTCTACTGTAGAATTACCATATGTTGTTGCATTGACAAAAATGAGCGTACTATATTACAGTAAAGAAAGTTTGTATCTTTTAAAAAAGAAAAATAATATCATATAAAATTATGTCATCAATATACTTTGAATTAATTTGAATTATTTTTTATTTTATTAGAAATAACAATCCTCTATGACTACATGATTGATCATTGGAAAAAAACAAGAAGTAATGATGAAATTAAGATAATGATGAAAAATGGTGACAAGGGTAAAAAAATTGCACTTTTATGTACATTTTTGGGACATGCAACAATGATCTCACGTTTAGTTCCATGGACATTTGAAAATTTTAATTGTTGGAATGATTCAGAGCACTTCAAAAATTATACATTATATGTTGAAGCATATTTTCCATATACTTGGAATTATAGTCCGGTTTTTGAATTAACTTGTTTTATTGAATTTGTTGGTATATATTTAGGAATGATTGCTTATACTGGTACTGACGGTTTTTTCAGTCAAATTGTTTTACATCTTTCTGGAGAATATCTTATTTTAAGTTTAAAACTCATTGATATTGTCAATACTTTTAAAGTTACGAAAATTGATTATGAATTTGATGAAAAATTTGGCCAAATAGTTGATGTTCACTATCATATAAATAGGTTCTTAAATTATATAAATTTTTTATTTTCTTCTATGCTGTGTATAGCTTAAAATTTTAAACCGGTCTTTTGGAGGAAATTTAAGCAAAATGTAATTTGTAATCAGTAAATTTTTGAATAATAGCAAAAATATTTTCCAGCTATGTGCAAAAATAAGATTACATTTTTTTTAGAAAAACAAATTATTTTTTTCTTTAAATTTACTCCATGTGTCCTTACATTAAAATAATATTACTCATTATATTAACAATAAAATTACACTTCTATCGGAAATACAAAACTTACATTGACTCTAGGCCTTGAAACCCTAAATAGTGAAATTGATTACTTTTACTTTTTGAAAGGTGATGAAATTAAAAAAAAAATGTAACCTAATTATAGAGGTTATGATAATATCTTTTTGAGGAAAAATGGAATATTTCTTTGTTCATTTTTGGATTATAAAAATGTAAAACTGGAAATTTTTCCTCAAGAGATTAAATTTTTTTTATATACAAGTATTTGACTGTATTTAAAAGTGAAATTTTTGTTTAATATACTAACAAATAAATATTTAGTTGTATCGCAATATTAGAAAATACATTCAACTTGATGTTTTTGGTTCAATTGATCGCTTGCAGTATCCAATTCTGTTTACAGGGATTTATGCTTGTTTTGGTATGTATATTTTTCTATGTTAAAAAAAACAAGTATTTCTCTTTAATGTAAATTCAAAATAAATTTAATTTAATTGTAAATTCATATTTGATTTTTAATTAAATGTCTTTATATTTTACAGTATGTAACAGAAAAAAATTCCACTCCTATGTTAGTAGATGTTCTTTTTATAATAGTATTTCTTATGTATATGATTGGAAATTTTTATGTATATTGTTATTTGGGTGAACAGCTACAGATGGAAGTAAATAATTTCAAACTAATATTTTGTCGTTAAAACAATTTATATTGTATGAGTGAAAAATAACAAATATTTTGTTGAAGTTTTAATAAACAACAATAGATTACAAATTTTTTTGTGTAATTTCACTACTGATAGGAAATCATTGGAAACATCTTAAAAACTTATTACTTTAATTAGTTTTTATAGTAAATTTCTAACGAGTCCAAATCGGTAGGGTCGTATAAAATTATTTTTAGCCTAATTTAAAGTCTCTGAAAAAATACAAAAATTTGTATACTTCAAAAAAGCTTAAAAAATTATAGTTCTCAAAATATCGAAAAACCGAAACAATTAAAAATTCACAATCTTTGAGAATTTAAGTATAAATATTTAGTCATTATAAAAATAATCATTCAATATTGTTATTTAAAGTGAATCAATTATAAAAGAAAAACACTGATTTATCCGTCCAATATCAATTTTTATATTATCAACAATAATTCAGCACAAAAATCGACCTGACGTCAGGAATTCAAGTATACAAATATAACAAAATAATAAACATACACACATTCAAATTCAATATAAACATATAAAGAAACCTTGTCTTTTAGAAAATATCAAATCATATAAATAGTTGCGATCAATGAAAAGATATAATAAAATTAAATATTCGTCAATTCGTCCAACGACTATCAAACACTCTCCATTCTTATGGTCATTCAATCAATTTGAGAAATAATGGTATAAATAATAAAAATAAATCTCTTGTACTCATCCAAATACATGATGAGATAACGGACGACATTTAGGGATCATTTTCCGGAAGATATATCCACGAATTAAACCATTCACTTGTCTAGAAGAACTCCTGGTAATGATTCCGGTTCCGGTTATCCAATTTATGTTCATTCCGTCACGAATTGTATTAATTTATCCATTTTTAGAATAAGACCCAAATGACACAAACGGCCACACTTTATTTAACAACAAAAATAACAAAAATCACCGATAAATAAAAATAATAGACATTTTATAAATTTAAGAAAGATATTTAAACAAAATTTACAATAACTACCTTTCCGTGTCCTCGGCCGGCACGTGGGAGCGTAGCCGTGGTTGAATCAATCGTTGACGAATTGCGAAAGTCAAGTAATTAATTATTGGCATTGATCTCATCGATACGACGATTCAACCTGCCAGTGCCCCCACCCCTGCCCAATTATTAGAGAACACAGAAATTAAAGTTAAATTTGATAAATACACGGGAGCCGAACCGGTCACATTATTCAGGAGCTCATCGACATTTCTCAAAAAGAGAACATCGCTTCAATATATACAACTAACAAATGCAAAATTACTTCTATTGAATCCGAAATTAATTCGGCCTGTGTAATCGCAGTAAATCTAGAATCTACATTCACTAGTTACGTTTGATCAAACTGACTTTGGATTAGACCTGCTTAATTCTGAATTCACTAGTTACACAAAATCGGGTAAATTTTGGATTTATTTCATCCACTTAACGTCTATACTCTCTAAATCTGAATCAGTAGAAATTTTACTAATTCAATCAGTACTTTTCATTTTAACTGAAGTTTCAGTTATTTTTTGAAATTTACTAATATAATTAGTGAATATGCAAGCAATAGAAAATAACTTATGTAAATCAGTAATTTGTATATAACATAACCTTTAAAATTAACTATTAAATCAGTAGATTTTGTGGCCGCTGCCATATATTTATATATTACTGATTCAATCAGTAATTGATATTTTACTAATTGAATCAGTAAATTTCTACTAATTGTCAGCTGCTCAATTCTCGCTATGGCAATTAGTAGATTTCTACTGCTAATCAGTGAAATATGACTGATTCAGATTTAGAGAGTAGGTTGCCTTTTTGAGGACACTTTCGTAATATTCATGGAATATCTTTAGAACGTCTTTTTAACATTATTTCAAGAACGTTCTGAAAAGGATGTTCAGTGGATGTCCGTACTCATTAGGGAACATTTTTTACATTTTTGTTATCATAATTCTCTGAACCTCTGAAAAAGATTAATCAGTTAAGCTTTTTTGATAAATAAATGAGTCATTTTCATTTTCAGCGACCCCAAATTAGACACACCCACATAGCACCGAAGATTTAATAAATATTTATTTTCAATGTTCGCAGTATTTAGAATAAAGGTTAACTTTAAATTGACTTTAAATAACGAAATTAATTTTAAAAATAAATTTGGGGGACCGAGGATCGAACACGGGTTTGACGAACGCAAACGCAATACCTAACCAACCGAGCTATACGAGCAACTATGATTGGAAAAAAAATCTTGCTCTTAAGCTACAAGTGATTTTATTGGTTTACGGAAAACGGCGAGATAATTTAAAACTGGATTTTTTGTTTTGATAATATATAACCAAACAAAAATTATCTTAACCATCGAAACAATTCGTGCCGTTTTCCAATAAAATAAATTTCCAACCAATAAAATCACTTGTAGCTTAAGAGCAAGATTTTTTTTCCAATCAAAGTTGCTCGTATAGCTCGGTTGGTTAGGTATTGCGTTTGCGTTCGTCGAACCCGTGTTCGATCCTCGGTCCCCCAAATTTATTTTCAAAATTAATTTCGTTATTTAAAGTCTCTAAAAAATTGCTTAATCTAGTACGAGTACTTAAATTTAAGAAATTATTTTTTTTTTCATTTTTGAAAACTAAAATTTCTTAAATCAATTTATTTATTAAAGTGATTCAAATTAAAGATATAATTATTTTAATTATATTATTATTATTAATACAATTAATACTTTATGATTAGATAATTTTAAAATCCATCTATCTGGGCGAACATTTAACGAATATTTTTTTCAAGCTTCATTCAAGGTTCGAGCTAAATCTTTAACGAATATTTAATTTCAATCTTCACTCAAGGTTCGCGCTAAACATTTGCTCAAGTGCGGAGATTTAGGAGATTTAAATATTTACAGAAGCTTTACTTAACCTTTATTCTAAATGTTGCGAGCATTGCAAATAAATATTTAATAAATATATTTATTAAATCTTCGGCGCTATGTGGGCAAGAGAAATAATTTTTTGACGTTGTACAATTTTTGTCTAAACTATTGTAATTTATTTATCTACACAAAAATTTATTTCTGTGTTATATTTCTTTTTTTGTTTTTTCACATTTTTTTCATTGGAATGTTGAATTTTTTCAGAGTTTTGCATTCGCACAGACAGCTTATGATTGTGTGTGGTACCACTTGCCTCCACAAAAAGCAAAATGTTTGCTTCTTCTAATGCAGTCTGGTCACAAACCAGTGTCAATAACAGCTGGTAAATTTTGCGTTCTTAATTTGCTTCTATTTCGAAATGTAAGTTATTTATTGTATTTTTTTTTAATTGTCATTTAAATTAAAATAAGTTAACTGTGAAAATTACTCAATAGATAATTATAAACAATACATATAAATCTTTTTATTCTTCGGCATTTCAGATTATTAAAACATCAATGGGCTATTTGTCATTTCTGATAACAACGAGACAAAGCAATAAATAAAAAATGTATTAAAATTAATTTTACACAATAAAATGTTTAATACCTTACTTTCTAAATAAATTATCAGTATCATTTTTAGTTGCATGAAAAATTGGAATTAGACTCAATGTTGTAGGAGTTTGCGGGAATCACTGATTTAAGAATCTGACATCAGATTTTCGAAATTCAAAATGACGGATACAATATATCAAAAAAATTAAGGGTTTTCGGCATCTCTGAATATAAATCCAATTAGCAATGTTTTAAAATTTGAAATGACGGATCCAACTTTTTTAAGATAATCGGATTCACTCTTTACACAGAGATTTTCAAGAAAATTCTATATAATTGTAACAGAATTAAAAAAAAATTATACCAACTTTTTTCAATGTTAATTTAAATTATTTTAATAAAATTATATATCAGAATAAAAAATTTTGTCAAATCATTTCGCATAGCCTTGTTATAAATTAAATTGATTTTTTTTCGATTACATTTTAAATCTGTAATATATTAGGGAAATATTAATGGATAAGATAGAATGAAGCAGTACGAAATTCTCAACGATTTTTGAGTGTCACAAAAATTTTATTGAAAGAGATATCGAAAAATGGTTAGTATGTCAAATAAAAAAATAATTAAGTCACTTTCAGAAGACTAACAGGTTAATTACAGACAACTGTTAAATTAATAATATTAATTACAAGGTGTAGTTTAATCAATTTTGATCTTTTTCAGGAACTTTGAGTTTTTGTAGCGAAACAATATTTAAGTCAATTTTAAAGGGGTTGGCTATATTTTTCGTGGAATCTTCACGTCAAAATAAATATAAATGTACTAAGTTTGAACATCCTCACAGAAAATTAAAAGGCATTAAAAGAAGCTGCAACACTTATATTTTTGTGACAGTTTGACACAAGTGAGTTGATTATATTTAAAAGATAATAATAATTATTTAATTAATATAATATTATTAATGTTCATATTAATTAATATAATAATAATTAATTAATTATTTTTTAAAATCTTTAAATTTTGATTTCTATAATATTCAATTTAAATCTTAAGTCTTTAAAAAATTTTATCAAATAACTATTTTTTATTATCCATGAAAAACAATATACATATATATATTTTAAAGTTTATATTCTTAATTAAATTGTTTCAAATTATTTATTAAATTAATTAAAATACATTATTAAACTTCCTTTATCTAATAAAATATTAATTTTATTTATATTAACATTTTTTTTAATTATAATTAGAAAAAAGTGTAATTAATAAATAAATACGATATATACTGAGATTGTTCAAATTTACTTATTTCCACAATATAATTCCAATTTCACAAATTAAATTAAATTTTTAGAAATTATTGATAGTTTATTTATTAAACTTTACCTATACTTTATTATTTATTTTTACAAGAAACAGTAAATTTAAATCGCGTAGAGCAGGTTATGTTTAGCATATTCACAACAAAGGCGGCCATTTTAACTTTTTGACAATTTTAACAGTTGGTGCTACTCTACAGTTAATAAGTCAACGCTACAAAACGGCTGTTTAGTAAATCCCACTGTAAAATTAGTTCGTCGAAAATCTACTGAACGGTATAGTCACCAGAAATGGCGCGACAGTCGCCATCACTGTCAATTTCTCTCCATGATATTTATTATATATAAATGAATGGTAATTTTTATGTATACTGTTATTTAAGAGAACAGCTTCAGATGGAAGTTAGTAATTAGATTGTATTTCAAATAATGTTTTTCTTAATGAACAATTTATTACTCTCTAAATCTGAATCAGTCATATTTTACTGATTAGCAGTAGAAATCTACTAATTGCTATAGCGAGAATTGAGCAACTGACAATTAGTAGAAATTTACTGATTCAATTAGTAAAATATCAATCAGTAATAGAAATATACGGCGTCAGCCGCAAAATCTACTGATTTAATAGTTAATTTTAAAGGTTATGTTATATACAAATTACTGATTTACATAAGTTATTTTCTATTGCTTGCATATTCATTAATTATATTAGTATATTTCAAAAAATAACTGAAACTTCAGTTAAAATGAAAAGTACTGATTGAATTAGTAAAATTTCTACTGATTCAGATTTAGAGAGTATATTATATATATAGAACAATGTTTCTACTTTTAACTGTTTATTATAAATAATCACTTTTTCAGAGTATTGCTTTTGCACAAACTGCTTATGAATGTGACTGGTACATCATCGTGTTAAAATGAAAGATTATTTTATTCTATTGACTGTTAATAATTTAGACTAAATATAATAATAATAATAATTAAAGAGTTTTATTTTATTAATACTATGTAATGCTATCACTTCTTCAATAAAAAAAATTAATGTAATAAGCAATCTAAATTGAGTTAAAATTTTTTTGCGTTTATTTCAATAAATTGTTATAAAGCTAATAGAGAGGAGATTTATCTTACGTAAGAATAGTATAGTGTAAGACACATTTGAAAGCAAAGTAATTATGTCGCCAGTAGTATAAATGAGTTTAAGTCAGACGGGATTCAGTTTACCGCAATACCAAATATATTTTCTACTTGATTTCTTCATTTTCGTTAATATAGCAGTAAAATTAAGCAGCATTCAATGGCATTATAAAAATATTACAGTTTATTTTCAAATATTCTTACCTCTATTCAACAGATATTTTTATAAAAATTTCCCTAGACAATTTGATTTTTTTTGCCCCCTATTTAATGTACTTCACATCTAAATTCATTGAAGACACAAAAGTAATGAAATAAAATTCAAAGAAACAAAATTAATGCGCATGCTTCGATCAATCTTTATAACAAGAAACAATTTTGCAATTGTAGTATGAATATTACAATAGTTAAATTATCCGTGATTCAATAACTTTTAACAACTATAATGATTATAATGGTTTGTCATTAAAAAACGCAACTTTGTTAAACTTTCAATTTCATGATAATAGATAAAAACTTTCCATTCATTATGACGTTATGAGTTAACTTAAACTTTACATTTTCATTAAATGGTTAATTAAATTAACCTAAATTAATAATTGAAGTATTTTTTTTTTATGTCAATGGCAATTTATCAAATTTTATCTATTATTGTTATGAATTTTACAAAAATCTATTGGGGTTAGATAAAAATTTATCTCTTATACTTTTATTTCAAGAATGATAATGTCATTTCACTTTTATAGAGAAAATTTGTAGATAAAAATGGACGGTGAATTTGGTATGTTATTTAGATTGTTTTATAAGTGGGGGAGAATAAATTAAAATTTATTGTAAAACAATTTTACTTATAAAATAAATGTAATAATATTATTTTTAAATTGTCTTGGTTAGACAAAAATTTTATTTTTCTACTGGAGTGGGATTACAAATAGCGACAGCGCTACGAAGATTTCGCTACGTAGCGATTCAAAGCTATACATACACTTTAAAAATTTTTCTTGCTATCGGGTGACTAAAAAAAATGGTATCATTTTGATAGATTTCGGTTGGTACAATTGTATTTCTGTGTATTTTTTTTCTCATATTTGCTTTATTTTATAATTTAACAATTTTTTTTTTAAATCAAGAATGTATCAAATTCATAAGGATTTCCCACGATGAAGAAATGAAGCAATTAAAAGAAATATCTAAAAGCCTGACAAATTTTTCAAGTGTAACAATTTCAAAAGTTATAAAAAAGGCAATTTGAGGCAACGATAATTATTAATATTATTATATTAACACTTTTATTTCTAAATTTTAACCTTAAATTTTTTTATAATTAATAATTATAAACTAAATAAAACATAAGAATAATAAAGAAATAAAGAAAACATTTATTTTAAATTTCTATCCTTACAAAATGTCAAGAAAATAATTCAACTTTATCCAATAATAATAAATTATTTACTTTTCTTTTTTATATTAATAATTAAATATTTATTGCATTTATATTTATTATCTTTTTCATAGGATTAAAAGTTTCTATTAGACATTGTCTAAAATGGGGAAAAAATTTAATTTAAAAAATAGAATTTTTGTTCTCACGCAAGGTTTCACTAAAAAAATGTATAGGGCATTTTTGTGAGTTAAAGAGTTTTTCAAGAAATGCAAATTTAAATCAATTTAATTAAAAAAATTTATCAATTTTTAAATTTACGCTGGTAAAGAATATCCTAATTTTAAATCTCATGCAATTATTATTTTAAATTCTTGCAATAAGATTAATTTTCTTAATTTTTATTTATTAAATTAAATTAAAAAAATTTATTTCCTTTATAAATTATTTTAACATTAAACTAGATAATTTATTTTTAAAGTTGTTATTTATTAAATTAATAGGTTATTTGCAATATTAAAGTATAATTTATTTCGTCACTAGTTAATTATTTTATTTGAAACTAACAGTTGGCAAACATGAAGTTAGAGAATTGTTTCCACCTTCGTGTAGTATTTGTTTGCTAAGTAGATAAAACCTTTTAGGAAATTGACATGAATTCTATGTCAAAGGTCTTATCCAGTAGGGTTATGTTTATATTCTCTTTGGAATTACGATCTTGCAGTTTAAGTTTTGAAAAAACTGTCAACGCTATTTGATTTTGGACATCATTTAGAACAAATTTGACTAAAAATATGTAAGTTTTTAACCCTAAATAGCGAAAAACGCTACATAACGACTAGCGCTATTCGTAATCCCACTACTGTCTGCTACATATCTAGTGATACCTAGAGAATTTTTGGGTATTTCAGTTTCTTTGACTTAAGTTTCACACCATGACAGCTTCGGCGAAAAATTTTTTTTTTTAATTTTCACGATTACTTTATAAACACTGCTCACGTGCAAGTTTAATAATTTTATAAATAATGAATTTTAATATAACTTATAAATTTATAAAAAAAAAACTATTTGACAAAATGAAATTGAAATTATTTCACCCCTTGATTTATAGATAAAATTAAAAAAAAACATTCTTCTACTGCAACTTGAGAACCTAACTTATTAATAGCTGATATGCTCAAATCTGTATATATGTTCGAAAGTTTGAAATACATTCAGAGTTCATTTTCAAAGATAGTTTATACTTCTTCTTCTTTATCTTCTTAATCTCATATTAAATATATATAATTTAGAGATTAATTTTTTTCCGTGTATTAAAGAATTCTTTTTTCCTCTTTTTTTTTTTTTACTTTCTTACAATAAATGTTTGAATACTTTTTAAAGCCTTGGAACTTCTTTCAAAATACGCTCGCATAAATCTTACAAAATTTGGAGCTTGGCCACGTCAAAAAAATAAAAAATTATCCAAATGTTTATTTTATGTTTGTCTATTTACTCTACTTTTTGGTGTTTTTCTTCCACAAACTTTTCAAGCGCTTCAAGTGTGGAAGAATTTTGAACTTTTAAGCAATGTCTTGTGCACTGCAGAACTCACAATTGTGATTGCCATAACAAAAATGATTGTACTTTTTTATAAGAAAAAAAGTATGTATTTTTATAAGATATAGATAAAATTTAAAAATTTTTTTATTTTATGTAAAATTTTACAAAATTAATATTCATTATATATTTGTTTCATTTTTTTCAGAAATTACCATTCTTTTTAACACTATGTTTGACCACTGGAATAAAAAGAAAAGTAAAGAAGAATTAAAAATTATGCAAGAAAGTGGTTATAAAGGAAAACAATTTTCGTTAATATGCATAATTTTGCCATATTCAACTGTTCACTGTCGTTTATTTCAGTGGATTATTGAAAATTTGAATAATTGGAATAATCCCGAATATTATAAAAATTATACGTTATTCGTTGAAGCTTATTTTCCATTTAAATGGAATTATAGTCCAGTTTTTGAATTCACTTGTTGTTTACAATACATTGCAGTAATGTGTGCAACATTTGCAAACAGTGGAGCAGACAGTTTTTTTAGTCAAATTATTTTCCATTTTATTGGACAATATCAAATTTTACGTTCAAGACTTGCAGATCTTATTAGAAATATAGAAAACAATATGCTTGAGGATGAGTTCAATGAAGAATTTAAAAATATTGTTTATATTCACCATCATATTAATAGGTGCGATTATGTTTAATATGTATATATTTACAAGTGTTACACATAGAAAAATATAAATATAAACTTTTATTGCAAATTCTCGCACAAAATAAAAATAAAAGTGTAAAAAAAAGTTGACACCCCGATACAACTAGGGGAAACATCTGCGCTAAAAGTGAGCCATTTTTCGGTACCTGCTAAACCTCAAAAAAATACGGAATGGAACACTAGCGCCACTGATTGTGTCTAATTTAGCTGGACAGTCAGCCATTGTAAAAGTTTAGAGTTTAGATCAATGTATTTTTGGGTTATGTTCAACGTACTTCCAATTTTTTCTACTGTTTACATACTTTCCACGAGAGCGCTTGTGTTCCATTCCGTATTTTCATGACACTAAGCGGGTACCAAAATTTGGTCCACTTTCAATGTACGTCGTTTGGTCTCCTTATACTACTCCATGGTTAAGACTTATGAGACCCCTAGGTTTGAGGTTATAGTCACCTAGTAAAAAAAGATTAATTAAGCTAGCCGTTTGGACGATAGAGCAGGTTTTCTGCTTAATTGGCTTAATAGCCAAAACGACATGTGGACAATTGGACTGTTTGTTTAATTGAGAAGTAAATATTCAAAATCTGATAAATCCATTTTTCAAAAAAATGGAGATAAACATAAATTTAATATTTTAAGGACCTCACAAATCTTCCTGTCGCTGTTAAATTTAAGAAAAAAAAATTTGTTAACAACGAATTTTCAATTCAAAAACTTTTGGACACTTTATCACAAGACCAAAAATGTCAAATTATTTTTTTTTAAATATTTTCGATCCAAACATGTAATGCCTTAAGAAATACTTTTTAAGGTATTATGTGAACCCAAAACTTTTTTAAAAATGATTTGTTATTTTTGGTCCCGTGAAAAATAATTTTCGACGCTCACGTCGACGCCAACTTCATAGACGTGAAAATTGTGTATTTTTGTTGGTTAGAAATTAAATTTACATACATATTTTTTTTAAATTATTTTAATACTTCTTTTCTATTACTGCAATACGTTCGTTAACGGAATTATGAAATTTAAATTTAATATTAAAACTTTTTAATAAATAAAAATACATAATTAATGAAGTTCTCAACACAGTTTTCCTAAAAGTATCAAATTGAGACCAAAAATTGCATCAAATCTTTGCAACGTTTTGATGCACATAAGTTATATCAAAAAGAGATCGTTTTGTGTATCATTTTTAGAAATGATACACGAAACGGTCTCATTTTTTGATGCAAAAAATTTAATCAATTTATATCAATCATGGCCGAATTGAATCGACTCAAAATTAAACGAATTTTTTTTCAGATATTTTGGTAATAGTACAATTGCGGAGACCATTTCACTATTTAATTTGAAAATGAAAATAACAGAAAATCAAAGACAATGTGCAATTCGATAATTAAAAAGTGACAGCTTATAAACATAACCTAAAATGCATGAGAAAAAATTTGTCGATAAAATCAATATAGCCGAGCTTTTTAGAAGGTAGATGGCAGCACTCATCTATTTTCTTTCTTTAAATTTTTTCTGAATCGTTTTTATAAAAAGCAAAACTGCCATCTACCTTCTAAAAAGCTCGGCTATATTGATTTTATCGACAAATTTTTTCTCATGCATTTTAGGTTATGTTTATAAGCTGTCACTTTTTAATTATCGAATTGCACATTGTCTTTGATTTTCTGTTATTTTCATTTTCAAATTAAATAGTGAAATGGTCTCCGCAATTATACTATTACCAAAATATCTGAAAAAAATTCGTTTAATTTTGAGTCGATTCAATTCGGCCATGATTGATATAAATTGATTAAATTTTTTGCATCAAAAAATGAGACCGTTTCGTGTATCATTTCTAAAAATGATACACAAAACGATCTCTTTTTGATATAACTTATGTGCATCAAAACGTTGCAATAGAAAAAGATACAACCATGTTTACTGTGAAATTATTTTTCTTACACTGAAAAAATATATTTGAATCAAATAAATTCTATTTCAACCAATAATTCCATTCAATTTCGGTAATTTAAAGAAATACAAATAAATATATATATTTTATAATATTTGAAGAAATTATTTGAATAATAAAATAAAGAGTAAAATGTTAATATAAAAAAATAACAATTTAAAAGTTATTATAATAATTTATAATTATTAATAGTTAATGCTATGAGCGCGTGCGCTTCGAGCGAAGAGTTAGTTCTTCGATCCAGTTGCTCAATTAATGTAAAAAGCAAATAGAACTCTGAATTTTGAATATCTACCAGTGCTGGCTTATTACTGGTTACTATAATTTTGCCCGTACTGGCAAAATACAGAATTACTGCTAAATTCCAGTATTGAACCAGTACTGAACAACAATACTAAGCCATTACTAATGACCAGTACTAATAAACGTTATCTTCTTAAACATATGCCAGTACTGGTTCAATATTGGCGGTCAGTATTTTGCCAGTACTGGCGCAACACTGCGCCGGTTGTAAATTTTTGCTTGGAATTAAGTCGTCTTTTCTTTTTCTAGACGCGAAAAACGTGAAGGATGATTTAGACAGAATACATTGAATAATTGAACAAACAGTTCAATTGTCCGGATATCGTTTTGTCTATTAAAAAGACGACCTGCTCTATCAACATTATTTAGGTCAAAATCCTAGGTAAAAAGGCGGACATAATAAAGTTACGTTTTTAAAAAAAATTGTTACCCACTTAGATAGATTCCCCGGCAAGTGACCCCTGGAGGTTCTATCAGAATTCCGCCGGAACTTCCAACGTAATTCCGTCAGAATTCCATCGGAGTTCCAAAGAATTTCCAATGGGATTCCGACGGAATTAGGACTCTAAAAATTTTGAAAAAAAAATTAATCGGAATTCCGTCAGAATTCCGTAGGAATCCCATCGGAAATTCTTTGGAACTCCGATGGAATTCTGACGGAATTACGTTGGAAGTTCCGGCGGAATTCTGATAGAACCTCCAGGGGGTACTTTCCGGGGAATCTTTCCAAGTGTGTATTTAAACTAACAATATAATTTATTTTCAAAACAGTTGCATTGAAATGTTAGAAAGCTGCTTTTATTTGACGTTTTTAGTACAACTACTAGCATGTTCCTTTCAATTTTGTTTGCAGGCCTACTTTTTTGTTTTGGTAAGTAAATTCGTAAGATACTTAGACATTTAAGATTAAAAGTCAAAAAAGTCATCTAAAGACACAAAAAAAGACGTCCTAAAGACACCCTGTAAAAGAGAAAGAATTGGACAATAGTGGTTTTCGAACTGTACCGGAGTGTCTTGAATTAGAGGAAAGCAAATTGATGAATAGAACCGATTTCTGAATTCGGAAATTGTATTGGTCCAATTCGTAAAATTTTTTAAGCGTAAAAATAAAGAAAATTAATCTGTACAGGGCACGAAAAACTAATGGGTTTCATAGTTTCTCGAATTGGAATCACGTCACATTTTTATTTAATATTGACAAAATCAATTGACAAACAGTATTTTTCACCTTCATTGGTAAGCATTATCACATTTCATTGCTTTTTAGTTCCCTGTACAGCTTAAGTTTCTTTATTTTCACCCTTAAAAAGTTTTAAAAATTGAACCAATACAATTTCCGAATTCAAAAATCGGTTATAATAAGGTTATAAGGTTTTTAAGGTTACCGTGTAAGCCTACAGTAAACTTGAGGTCATCTTAAAACTTCCGCCATTACAATAAGCTTACACAGTAAAGCTAAGGTATGCTTACACAGTAAGATCGTGGTAAGTTTACACGGTAAGTTTGTTGTAAGCTTCCCGTAAGGTTACTGTAAACATAGAATGTTATTAATAAATAAATTTTATAAATATTTATGCGCAGTAGTTTTCTATGGCACATACGACTGCGCAGTAAACTTTATTCAACAAACCCTGGGGTTCATAAAGTACTTTACTTTACGGGAAGCTTACAACAATCTTGCCGTGTAAGCTTACCATGTAAACTTACCACGACCTTACTGTGTAAGCTTACCTTAGCTTTACTGTGTAAACTTACAGTAATGGCGAAAGTTTTAAGATGACCTCAAGTTTACTGTAGGCTTACACGGTAACCATAGAAAATCCTACAGATATCCTTACAGTAACCTCACAGCAAGAAGCCGTGCTATATGGGATGTATTAATGACGTCTTTCACCAAAGTCCAAAGGATGTCTACAAAAAACATCCTTAGGACGTCTTATGAGCAAATGTGTCCACTGGGGTTAGCTCTGTTAAAAACAATTTTTTTTATTAAATTTTATTTTTGCTTTTTTTTATTTTTTTTTTTTTGCTTTTCTAGCACTTATTTAGAATTAATAGATTTCAAAAGTAAATTTTTCAGATTTTAACAGAAGATAATTCAAATTCAGTGTTACCAGCTATCATGTTTATAGTGGTTTATTTTATATACCAAACAACAACTTTTTACATATTTTGCCATTTGGCAGAAATGTTACAAATGGAAGTAAGAATTTATTATTTATTATAAATTCAAAAATTACATTTAAAAATGTGATGAAATTTCTGTTATGGGAGCGTTCACAAATTACGTAACGTTTTTTTTTTAATTTTGACCCCCCCCCTCCCCATGTAACACGTTATTGCATACATTAGCGCCATTTTTTCTGCTGTCCGTAACAAAGTGCTTGACCCCCCCTCCCCCAAATAATGTTACGTAATTTTTGAACGCTCCCTATGCAGTAATTTTTATTTGAAGGGTAGAATGACAAAAGGGGTCAAGCGCCAATTTTTCGAAATTGAGGTTTTTTTTATAAAAAAAACAAGTAATAATTTCGAAAAATTAGCGCTTGACCTCTTTTGTTATTCTATTACTCATTTATCAAAAAATAATTAAAAGAGTCCTCGTGTCACATAATATTTTTATTAGCACGATACAATACGTGTGATTTTAGAGACATCACTTAGGTTAAACTAATGTCAGCTGATAAGTTACTGGCACCACAATTCAGTGATTATCTGTACGGCTTGATACGGTTTTGCAAGGATTTGCCCTATTTAGGGATGAACTTGACAGGGCCATGAGAGTTTTCCTGGGAATTACCCTATATTTTGTGACAAAAATAACAATCAGTGAAAAATATACTACAGGCTTATAATCAGTTGTAATGAGTAATTGATTATATCAGTAAGCAACAAAAACTTGTAACAAAACAAAAACAGAAGAATGCACAATTCTAGCCTGACAAATAATAATCCCAAAGTCGACCCAACTTCAAATATATGTAGTAACACCAACACTAAACAAAAAAATTAAATATGGAATTAATTATACAATTAACACATTATTTATTACTGGATTACCTATTATTATTTAACGCAATCGCTTACATAAATTTTAAAAAATATTTAACGCTCGCTGGGATCGAACCCCCTAACCTAACACGCTAACCATTACGCCAACTTAACGTGAGAAAATAAATACAAAATTCATTTGATAAGTTGCGACTGAGGAAAATGAAGACTTGAGCAGCAGAACAATAAAGAAACAATAATTATATATAAATTATAATTTATTTAACATAAGTCAATATTTTCATTTTTTTATTTTATTAAAACTTGGTAACATAATTTTTCTTATTATCTAAAATATAGATAATATAGTAAAAAAAGACAAATAAATTTTAGTTTTTGTAAAGAAAAAATCACTTATTTCTTTTGAGTTGTTGATAAAATTCTTAGATTAAAATTGTTAAATTTTTTTTTAAAAATTAATTTTTCTTTAATTTTTTAAAAAATTAATAATTTTAATAAATAAATTATTTTAATTAATTAAATAATTAAAAATTCATAAATATTATTATTAAATAATTATTACTTGATAAAATATTTTGCATGGAAATTTAATTTTATTATAGTTTTATTTGGTGTTAAAAATGACTTTTTATTTTGAGGTTATGTCATAAAACCATGGCAAGACCGAGTTGCTCTAAGGAATGCCATACTTATGTGGACAAACTGGCAAGGGCCTTTCCACTGCCTTGATATGTAGTTTTCTAGGTTATATTGCAAACATGACATAACCAAGTAACTGTCGTTTAATCTGGGAAATGCCAAACTTGTGAAAAAACTGGTAAGGGCCATGAGAGAGCCTTACTTAAAGTAGAACTAAGTAGGGAAATTTCTGCACAGGATTGTATAGTGACCAATAAGAATAATGGTGAATAATAGTAGTACATGATCTAATTTCCTAGGGTTGCGGCACAAGGCCCACATCACCTCTATTGTGGAGTTTAGTAGCAGATGAGTTAATAGTAGAACTCAATAGCGAGGGATTTTATACGCAAACCTATGCGAATGAATTCCTGCTTATTGTAAGAGGTCTCTCGTTAGATACACTCTTAGAGTTAACAGAGAGTGCATTAGGAATCGTCAAAAGATGGTGAGAACGGACTGGCCTCTCTGTTAATCTAAACAAGACATGTATTGTTATCTTCACCAGGAAATACAAGGTTCCCATTGCAAGGAAACCTGTATTTTATGGAAGAGAAGTGACTTTTTCGATTCAGTTAAATATCTAGGAGTGATTCTGGACAAGAAACTGATCTGGAGAGAGCACTTAGAGTATCAATGTAGTAGATTTTACCACAACCTTTTGAGTTTGCAGAAGGGCAATTGAATCATCTTCGGGTCTAAAACCGGATATGGTTCAATGGCTCTATTGTATGAATCTGTTGCCAAGGTTTTTGCATGCATCAGTTGTTTGGTGGATTAGAAGCCAGTTGAAAACGGTGAAAATGAAGCTTGAACAACTACAGGCAATGGTGTTTAGAGGGATTACTGGCGCAATGAGCACCACGGCAACTTTTGCGTTGGGTTTCTTGCTGGCAGAAGAAATTTTTTAACATTTTAACGATCAAGAAAGATGCTCTCACTATTAGCAGACATGAGAGAGAGAGAGAGTAGGCAGAGACTACTGTAGGTAGACAGGCCAAGATTCTATTGGGATTAAAACTCAACAGGGGCTTTTCCGAATCCCTTCTAAAACTCAACAAGATCAGAGTTAGAGCAGTGGTTAGGTTGCTCACAGGACATGGCCTCTTAAACTATCATCAGAACAAAATAGGTAGAAATGTCTCATCTAGGTAGAAATTGTATGATGCAGAAGAGGAATCTTCGACCTCTATTGTGGATCTTAGTAGTAGATGAGTTATTAGTAGAACTCAATAGCGAGGGATTTTATACGCAAAGCTATGCGGATGACTTCCTGATTATTGTAAGAGGTCCAGCTTATGCTGCAGTGAGACATCAATTCTGGGGTCATGCCTTTGTAGACCCAGATTGGATTCGCAACCTCTCGGTATAAGAGTTACTGGACTTTTGGAATAGGACAGGACTCTAGGGAGGGAGACTGGGTTAGAGCTTGCCAGGATTAGGTGCAATGGGTCTTGCGACTTAAGTGCCAACACTCGTACTAGGGGACTTCGGTATAAGCTCATTTGAAATTAGATTAGAATAGTAGTACACTAATTTTTCCATTTATCACAAATTTAGAATAAGTGATATATACTAATGAATTATAATTAGAGATTGATTATACTTTTCATATAGTAACAATTCCTAGTGCAATACATCATGGCTTGAAGACGCAGGCCATTAATGAAATTATGTTTAGGTTTGAGTTCAGAGTAAATATGTCTTTAAAGTATCATTATTCGTCTCTAAAATCACACCCAGGTGACAGTGTGCTAAAAAAAATGTTATAACAGTAATAAATAATGCAATAATAAACCTGTTTGTAGAGTTTTTATTTTGCGCAAACTGCATATGAATGCAAATGGTATAATTTGCCTCCTCACAAATCGAAATGTCTTCTTCTTTTAATGCAAAGTGGTCACAAGCCGGTATCAATAACAGCTGGAAAATTTTGTGTCCTCAACTTTATGCTTTTTGGAAGTGTGAGTATCTAAATATTAAAAAGATTTAATAAATAACTATTAATTAATAAGCAAGGAATTGTAATTTCAGATTATTAAAACGTCTATGGGATATCTATCTTTTTTAATAACAATGAAGAAAAATAACAAATAACACTGCATTTTTGAAGAAAATATGAATAAATGTTGTATATTCTGTATATCTTTTTCTGTATACTATGTACACATAATAAATGTTTTATTTGCAATTGTTAAGATTATTAAACACTCAATTATAACATAAAATTGTAGTAGGATTTCTTTTTCCTAATGTTGCAATTAAAATTCTAACACAAAATTGTTAAATTATGACAAATATTTAATTTTTCTTTGTGTAAAACAGTAAAATTCATTATAAATAAAAGATAAATTATTTATATATTTAAATTAAAATTAAAAAAACAAAACTTTTCACAAATACCAACAACAATCTCACAAAAAAAGTATCCATTTCCTACATCAAGATTTTCAATGAAATTACATTGAACAAACTAAAAGATTTCTAAAAAATGGAATACATTGCAAAAATTCAATTATTTTTTTTAATCACATTTTTTAAATTTTATCTTTATATATATAGAATCAAAAGAAACATTACATACGAAATCTCAGAAGAGACAAACGAAGAAAAATAAAAATCGAAAGAAAACAATCATTGCGCACGCTTGAAACTATAATAAGACAATAAGATATAATTTCTTAATGAATATATATGATAAATGGTTAAATTGTTATTTGTAATAAAATATCCATAACTACCTCAATGATACAAAATGACTCTCGTCATTAGCTAACTTTAATAGAAATATAAACTTTTTTTTTTATTCCTTGCCAATTTTCCTAAAAGTAGATGTCTATAATACTTTTCCCTTTAGTATTATTTTACTTACGGTTATTATTTTCCAATTTTTTATAATGTCACGTGAAGCATTTTAAAATTTTACTGCATCATTGCTTAATGTTTTTACATATTTTCTAATAAATATAATTATCAGTTTTTTTTAATGCCATATGTATCAAAAAATTTGTTTTTTTATAACAAGTGCAAGAAATCAACATAATTCAAAAAACAGTTTCATTAGCACTTATTAATTATCTACATTTAGGAAAACAATGGATGGCGAATATTGTAAGTGAAGATATAACTTGTGTGTTCTACAATAATAACAATAAATAACAATAAATAATAATTAAAGCATTGGAAATTCTGACAAAATACACTCGATTTAGTCTAACAGCTTTTGGTGCATGGCCAGGTCAAAAAAATGAAAAATTATGCAAAGGATTGTTTATTATTTGCTTTTTATGTGTAATTTTTTGTCTTTTTCTACCTCAAACTATTAAAATGCTTCAAGTTTGGAATAATTTTGATCTTTTATCAAATATCCTTTGCACAGCGGAATTAACATTTTTTATTGCTATAACAAAAATGGTCGTACTTTTTGTCAGTAAAAATAGTAGGTATATTCTTAAAATTGAGTATATACAAAAAAAAAGAAATTAACCATCAACAATTTAGTTATTTTATTTTTTAGAAATGTCAATAATTTATAATCATATGATCCATCATTGGAAGAAAAATAAAAATAAAAATGAATTAAATATAATGCTGGAAAATCGTCAAAGGGGAAAGTTTTTTGCATTGACATGCATTATTTTGGCATATTCAACAGTTCATGGACGATTTTTTCAATGGATAATTGAAAATTTAAATAATTGGAAAAATCCTGAATACTATAAAAATTATACACTATTTGTTGAAGCATATTTTCCATTTAAATGGAATTATACTCCAATTTTTGAATTAACATGCTTTATAGAATACTTTGCAATAATTTGTTCAACATTATCTAATTGTGGAACGGATTGTTTCTTTAGTCAAATTACTTTTCATTTTGTTGGACAATATCAAATTCTACGTTTAAAATTTACTGACCTCATCAAAAATAATGAGAACAATACATCAAAATCGGAGTTTAATAAAAAATTTAAACATATTATATGTATTCATAATCATATAATAAGGTTATTTTTTATTACATACCTATAAATATAAATGTATATATGTTATTTATTTTTTCATTGAATATATCGAGCTTCATTGTTTTTCACTATTGACAGAGTCATATTAATTAGAAATTAAAAGCAGACTGCACCTGGAACAAAATTTCTTTGTAGTAAAATTCGATTTTTTTAAATAAAAAAAAATGTCTGGTAAAAAAAATTTATTTAATAAAAAACCAACATTTTTGTATTTAACCCCTTCGCAGTCTAGCAGAAAAATCGTTTGTGGGCCCAAAACGGTACAAAAAAAATAATTTCCGAAAAAACTATATCATATTAAAAATTTTCGGGGTCGCTGAATCCAAATTTGAGGTCAGATTTTAAAAAATTCAAAATGGCGAACCCAATATGGTGGAAAAAATTTCAAATTGGTTTGATTTATTCAAAATTCGATACTCGAGAGTTTTTGGGGTCCCTGAATCCAAATTTGAGGTCAAATGGAAAAAATTCAAAATAGCGAACCAATATGGCGGAAAATTTTTAAATTGTCCTCGTTCATCACTCTGGGTTCGGCAAACAGTGGAATTAAAAAGTCTTACATTTGAATAATTTTAAAATATCAAGTTTCAAGCGAATTTTGGTAAATTTTTAAAATATTTAGTCGGCATGCTGGATCAGACATTTTGAATTTTTCAAAAACTACATAAAATTTAGATTCAGCGATCCCAAAAATCCCCGAGTACCGAAATAAATTGAACGAATTGAATAAATTTTAAAATTTTCCGCCATATTGGGACCACAATTTTCAATTTTTTAAATCTGTCCTCAAATTACGTTTCAACGACCTCGAGATCAATTTTAAAATTTCCCACCATATTGGTTCGCCATATTGCGTCCGCCATTTTGAATTTTGTAAATCTGACATCAAAATTTGATTCAGCGACAAATCGAATTATGCCATCATAGTGTCTACTTCAAAAAGAAGATTCCTTAATTATAGATAAATAGATAAAACAAATAGATAAATGAAGGTAAATAAAAATTTTTTTCAACAGCTGTATTGAAATATTAGAAAGCTGCTTTAATTTGATGTTTCTGATACAACTACTTTGTTGTTCATTTCAATTTTGTTTGCAAGCCTACTTCTTTATTTTGGTATGTAAACAGTTTTTCGTACGTCTGATGATTTTCCACGGTGCGCCAGAAGGTGGTTTAAATAAAAATGAATTGTCACTTAAAAATTCTTTTTGATTATGATTCTTAGATGAATAAAAAACATTTCTCAATAGTTTTTAAAATCAGTTTACGTGTCCGATTTAAATAAAATTGAGTCTTTATATAAAAACAGTGTTTTATGGGGAATCAGAATTTATTTAATCTAATAAATACTGTAATAAATGATAAAATAATTACTTATTTTCAATTTTACATATAAATAATTATATTGCTGTAGTGTTTGTGTCCGATTTTAAAAAATTAAATTATAATATTAAAAGAACGATTTTAAGAGTGACAAAATTTATTTAAGAGAGTCGAATGGTCTCTGAAATGTTTTGGCAAGAAGAGACCTTTAATTATCGCTTTATAAAAACGGCACTAAACATGAAAATGATAAATATTGATTTTAAAATACTTTCTTCTCGAAAGACAGACACTTTTTACAAAAGCAGCAAGAGATCGTTATTTTATATAAATTTCCTAAATCCGAAAGATTATACGAATCCATACAAAAACACGATTGCAAAACGAAAAGTAATATAATGACAGGTTCATTACCTCCTGCCGCCGTCAGATGGCAGCAGCATGCAGGGCGCACAAAGTTGCAGCTGTTATTAGATTACTTTTCTACTTTTTGTTTTGCAACCATGTTTTTCTATGGATTCGTACAGTCTTTTGGATTTAGGAAATTTTTATGATGAGGATTTTGGCTGATTTTGTTAAAAGTGTTCGTGTTTCGAGAAAAAAGTATTTTAAAATCAATACTATTTCACGTTCAGAGCAATAATTAAAGCACTCTTCTTGCCAAAGAATTTCAGATACCGTTCGACACTCTTAATGCATAAATATAAAAACGAAACAAGAAAATAACTTCATTGTTAATAAATTTATATGAACCCAAATCTAAAACATCTATTATCTATAAGCATATAAGTATACATTAAATAAATTCTGGTTCCTCATAAAATACTATTTTTAAATATTTAAAACTCAATTTGTTTTAAATTGGGCACGTAAGCTAATTTTAAAACCTATTGAGAAAAGTTTTTTATTCATCTTAGAACCATAATCAAAAAGAATTTTTAAGTGCAATTATTTAAACCTCCTTCTGGCGCACCGTGTTGCTTATTTATTTCCGTCCACTAAACACTTTATATTCAATTGTTAAGCAATCACTGAAAAAAAAGTTCTGGTTAAAGTTACTAGATGCGTTTGGTTAAAAAATTTCTAGTTATTTTAACAAGAAAATATAGTTAAAAAGACTAAACAGTTCTAGTTAAATAAGTATGGTTAAATTATTCTGGTTAAAATAATTCTGGTTAAAAACGCGCGTTCGCGGACACTGCATAGCGTCTGTTGTTCTTTTTCGAATAGTTTATCGTGCGGATCGCAAGAATGGATGAAAAAGTTAACCAAGCTCTGGAAAATTGGGGTTTGGGAGAATTAAAAGATCTGTTTAAAGGTTGGTTAATTAATTTTATAATATAAGTGAAAAAATTGTTGACGAACGGCAAACCCGTTCGTGTGGAAAATAGTTTGAAGGTTATGTTGAAAACGTGCTCGACACGTTTTATCAGAATTTTAGTTCTGAATAATCATATTTAAATAAACATTATTAAGAGAATTGCAGTGTAAAGATGTTATTATTTGATTGCATTTATATGTACATAATACAAATTTTTTTAATACATATTTTATAATATAATATAATAATAATAAATTTAATTAATTCTCGGATTAACTAGAATTTCTGGTAAGATCAACCAGAAATTTTTTTACCAAAAATTTTTAACTAGAAAAATTCTAGTAAGATTAACTTGAAATTCTAGTAAGATTAACTTGAAATTCTGGTAAAATTAACCAGAATTTTTTAACCAAATTTTCTAGTACTTTTAACCAGAAAAAGTAGTAAGGGTATATATAACTTTTTATTCTGGTTAGATTAACCAGAATTCTGGTTATTTTAACCAGACTTTTTTTTCAGTGATACTTTAATTTCTTAACAAAATTTTTTCAGTTTGTAACAGATGACAATCCAAAATCAATGTTACCATCTATTTTGTTCATATTGATATTTTTTATGTTCCAAGCAGGAAGTTTTTACATTTATTGTTATTGTGCAGAAATGTTACAAATAGAGGTAAGAATATTATTAAAAAATATTTAAAAACCTTTTTTTTGAGTTTAATATATATTTGTATATAGAGTTTAGCGTTCGCAGATACGGTATATGAATCAGAATGGTTTAATTTACCTCATCAAGAAGCAAAATATTTTTTTCTTTTAATGCTTAGAGGACATAAACCAGTGGCAATAACAGCTGGAAAATTTTGTGTACTCAATTTTATGATGTTTGGAAAAGTGAGTTGTAACATTTTTTTTTAAAAAAAATTACCAAAATATTTAATTATATTTTTTCATTAAATAATACATAATAACTGTTTTATATTGAAATTTTAGATTATCAAAACATCTATGGGATATTTGTCATTTTTAATAACAATGAAAAAATAAATAACTCCAGTGTATTTAATTTATTGATATTTAAAGTTGAGGAAATATACACACTAAGAAATTTAAAAAATAGATTTTTATTTTCTTTTTTTTAAACTAAAACTTTACAGAAATTTTCTCTCTAAGTTTCTAATCATAATATTAAGCCCCGCAGGTTTGATCCGCTTAACGTTCAAAAATTTTTTGCTTACAGCATGAATAAAAAGTGACGTATTTTATTTTAATTTATCAATAGAGGACTTATTTCAGGGATCCGTTAAACTAGAATATTTCATATGTTAACTTTTTGAAATGAAAAATAATTCAATCTATTAAAATTCAAATACAAATGAAAAGTAAAAAAGAACATATATAGTTTTCATTTTAATATACAAATTAAATATCTTACCGAGTAAATATAAAGATAATAAAGATTCGATATTGTTAAAAATTCGTTCTCAATTTGGCAAATATCCAAAAAATTCTTCTTTATGTAGAATTTTGCAAAATATCTATACAAAATAATAATCGTTAGTTTTTTCTACGTTATTTTTATAAAAAAAAAATCAAGAGACGTGTATAATGTGTTTTACATATGAAATCTCGACGAAAACAAACGATGAGAAAAAAAAATTCAGTGAAAAATGACTATTGCGCATGCTTCAAACTAAGTAAAATGACATAATTGTACAATTGGAATCATTAACTTATTGTTAGAGTAACTACAACAATGATATCATAAAATGATTTGTCATTAACTTAATTTGATAATGGTAAATACTTTTTAATTCTTTTTGTAATGTCATAAAAAATAGTTAGGTACATTTAAGTATTCTTCTTTATAGTATATATTTCTAATACGTAAACTGTTTCCAACTCCCTGTTTAATATTCTTAAAATTTTCTTTATCGTTACTTTGGGGTTATTATAGTTTTATAATATTTTAATGAATATTATTATTTTTTTTTTTATTTTACATTTAAGAAAATCTCATTGATATTTAATCAAAGTGTGGGAATTATTATTTAACAGAAAAAAACAACGAGGCTTATAAAAAATTAATAAAACAACAAAAAATGGAGGGTAATAAAAATTATTTATTTATTCTTATCAGAAGGTTGTTTATATAATTAACTTTTTACTTTCACATCCGCACGGATTCTAATTTTAACTCGTATTTCACTTTCTCATCCACTTCCTCTGATTCTAATTTTTACCCTCACTTTCATTCTCATTTTTACTGATTTTAATATTTAAGGTCTCAATTTCATTTTTACTTTCACTAAATTCTAATAAGTGGAAATAAAAGTGAAATAATGAGACTGAAAAATAAGAATCAGTGGAAGTAGAAGTAGAATTAGAAGTGAGAATTAAATAATCGATCCCTAGATTAGATTCATTGATAAAGAATAGAAAATAATCGTATTTTCTTTTTTTAATTAATTTCTGATTATCTTTAAAGATAACTATTTGAAAGATATTACAAGATCATCACAAATAACTCTTGGATGCTTTGGAGCGTGCCCTACTCAAAAAAATGAAAAAATATCAAGAGGCATATTTATTATTAGTTTATTATGTGTACTTTTTGGTGTATTTATTCCTCAAGGTTGTAGAATATTTCAAGTTTGGAAAAATTTGGATCATCTGACCAACGTTTTATGTGCAGCAGAATTACCGTTCTTAGTTGCATTAATAAAAATGATTGTAGTTTATCATAATAAACAAAGTTCGTATGAAATTTTGTGGAATTTATATGTAAAATCAAAGTCAACATATTAGTATAAAACAAAAATTCATTGGAACACAATCTTACATTCTCATTTTGAATTTATAAATATTGTAACTAGTTTGAATTATTTCACAGAAAAAAAAGTGGGTAAAAAGTTGTAAAGATAGAGGATAAAAGTCGTCAGGATACAGGGTAAAGGATAAATTTGTGATGGATAAAAATGTTACTAAAATATTACTAGAAAAATGGATGTCATATTTGAGTAAACTGTCTAATTTTAATAAAAATATTAGTAATTTAACACTTAACTTATTAAATCCACAAATTTTATATAAATAAGTAATTGCACGTGGAAATATTTTGCCTATAATTATTGTCTATTAATAAAAATATCTTTGACTAATATAACTGACAGCTGACGACAGTGCGTAAATAATCAGAACTGGGAAATTACAACTCAACGTCTGTATTGTTGCACGAAAGCAGAGTTAAGTAGAAACTGAATTTTTTGTGCATATTAGGCTGTGTCAGTTCATCGAGATATTTCGAGTTCAAGATATGACGTCAGAGGCCTGGAGAGACAACAAACAGACGACACAATGTTATTCTTACGGAGAAGAAAATTTGTTTCCACTTTCATCAATTTTATTCATACTTTGAACATGGAAAACGCTTGTTGACATCTAATAAAATTAAAATGTGTGTTGATAATTAATTTTGTTATATATTTGATTCAATTGCATTTATAGATTCTCTGAATTCGTGATAAAATATAAATTTTGAGGTTAGGGGTGTTTGTTTACTAACTTGAAATCTTTTACTGCTGCGGTAATTCTCACTTAAAATATATATTTTATATCTTTTTTAATAACATGCATACTGGATATTGTTTAATAATGTTAAAATGTAAAATGTGATTAGTAAACAAACTTTTCTAACCTCAATATTTATATTTTATCACGAATTCAGAGAATCTATTAATGCAAATGATTTAAATATATAACAAAATTAATTATCAACATTTTAATTTTATTATATGTCAACAAGCGTTTTCCGTGTTTAAAGTATGAATAAAATTGATGAAAGTGGAAACAAATTTTCTTCTCCGTAAGAATAACATTGTGTCGTCTGTTTGTTGTCTCTCCAGGCCTCTGACGTCATATCTTGAACTCGAAATATCTCGATGAACTGACACAGCCTAATATGCACAAAAAATTCAGTTTCTACCCAACTCTGCTTTCGTGCAACAATACAGACGTTGAGTTGTAATTTCCCAGTTCTGATTATTTACGTACTGTCGTCAGCTGTCAGTTGTATTAGTCAAAGATATTTTTATTAATAGACAATAATTATAGGCAAAATATTTCCACGTGCAATTACTTATTTATATAAAATTTGTGGATTTAATAAGTTAAGTGTAAAATTACTAATATTTTTATTAAAATTAGACAGTTTACTCAAATATGACATCCATTTTTCTAGTAATATTTTAGTAACATTTTTATCCATCACAAATTTATCCTTTACCCTGTATCCTAACGACTTTTATCCTCTATCTTTACAACTTTTTACCCACCTTTTTTTCTGTGTTTAGACACTGAGTTTTTACTATACGGAATATAATTCCTTATTATATTATTTCAGAAATGTCGACACTTTATGATTATATGTTGGACGACTGGAACAGTAAGAAAAGTAATGAAGAATTAGAAATAATGATTAAGAGTGGTCAAGAAGGAAAAAAATTTTCACATATATGCATTATTATGGGTCAAGTATCCATGAGCGCTCGTTTATTTCAATGGACTATGGAGAATATGCCTAATTGGAATAGTCCAGAAAAATTCAAAAATTTTACATTGTTTGCTGATGCATATTTTCCATTTCAATGGAACTATAGTCCAACTTTTGAAATTATATGTTGTTTTGAATTTATTGGAACGCTTTTTGCGACACTTGCTTATTCTGGAACTGACAGTTACTTTAGTCAAATATCTTTTCACTATACCGCACAATATCACATCTTACGTTTGAGGCTGATGTATCTCATCAATAATTGTGACAACACAAAATTTAAGTCTGAATATAATGAAGAGTTTAACAATATCATCAACGTTCACTATCACATTAATAGGTCATTTATTTAACACAGTTAAACGTTAAATGTCATGAGTAGTTTTACCTGTAGGATTTATTTTAATTCTTAACCCATTAAATCCGGAAAATTTAGTATGAAATTCAAGGTAAGAATTTAAATCTCAAATTTGAATAATTGTACATGAAAGGATTATTTTTGTTTGATATTTATTTTGTTTCTTCAAAATGGATATAAAAACTACTCATGGCGTTATTCTGTGAATATATTTTTGATACCATCGTTGTATTAATTTATTTTTTCCCTTTGAAAAATATTAAGTAATTATTCCTATTTGACGGTTTCAAATTTTTATTTTTTTTACATATTTCGAAAGTAATCACACGTGACTTCGAAAGTAGCCTTCATTATCCCTTTAAGGAAGAATCCTCTCTGCATAGTTCAAAATAACAACCATTTAAGTAGTCATTTGATCCAATCAGTACAAACGCAACGCTTGGCAACACTGTATTTGATTCTCTTCCGTTTTGCTTCGTGTCGTCTGCAAATGTTTTGATTATCATGTTGTTATTAAATTTAATAGAAGAAAATTCTGTGAAACCATAAAAAAATAGTATTAGAAGGGTAAAAAAGTTATCCCAAAAGTTTATGCTATATATGCTAAGATTGTTGGTTAAGAATGAAATATTGTCTCAAACATATAAAAAATGATGAAATATATAGTTAAATGATTAAAACAAAAAGATTTATGTTTTTTATGACGATCATTGTTAAATAAGTATTAAAAACAAATGTTTTTATTAATTTCAATGTAGGTACTACAGTATATTATAAACATTTGTCGATAAAATTAATATAGCCGCGCTTTTTATAAGGTAGGTGGCAGCACCCTTTTTTTTATTCCTTTAATTATTCCAGTAATTCTTATATAAAAAGCAAATATTTGTAAAACTGAAATATTGGTCAAAAAATAGTACTATTTTATAAGTCTAAAAAAAATTTGTAATTTTTTGACTTCATCAACATAATCATTCCGGCATAGCACCAAAGTCTTAACCCAGAAGTTGTCTACAAAAAATATATAGCGCACTTCGTGATTGGTCCAGCGGATGCTGAACTACTCTCAAAAATATTTTGAAAATTTTTTCAAAAATTAAATTTGCGAAATAATCGTTCAAGAATAACACTAATAAAATAGTCAAAAAGTATCAAACAAAAATATATGGCGCACTTTTTAATTGGTCCAGCGGATGCTGAGCTACACTCAAAAAAAATTCCGAAAAATTTTCAAAAAATTAAATTTTCGAGATAATCGCTCCGGAATACCACCAATAAAATAAGGAAAAAGTTTCGAACAAAAAATGTATGGCGCACTTTTCGATTGGTCCAGCGGATGCTGAGCTACACTAAAAAACATTTTGGAAACTACATTTTTTTAACCTATATCTACCAGTGTGCCAACTTTTATCAAAAACTGTCTGTCAATTCCCAAAACCGAGGATTCTTCCTTAAATTTTATTTGTCAAATAGAAATAACTCCTTAAAAAAACATTTCAATGCGGATAATAATTATCCAGAGGAATTAATTAATTATCCATAATTATACAAACAATGCTTCAATATTGCAAAAATTGTTAGACAATATTGAAGTAATAGTTGGACATTGAACAATATATTGTCTTTCGTTTAATATAGTTGCATTCAAATAATAGAAAGCACGTTCCATTTGACGTTTCTTGTTCAACTACTTGCTTGTACAATTCAATTTTGTTTGCTAGGTTACTTTTTTATTCTGGTAAGTAAATTTGTATGTCATGTATAAATTATTTCTACATATTTCGTTGATTTCAATCCTCATTATCACTACACACTATAATGCAATTTTGAGATTTCGTTTTGTATGGATTAAAATTTGTTTTACGTTGTGAAACGGTATGTGGATCACAAAAACTCTATAAATACAAAAAGTAAAATTATTTTTTTTTCAGTATATAACTCATGAAAATCGTAGTTCATTATTACCAGCTATCCTTTTTGTGGTGGTATTTTCCTTGTACATAATTGGAAACTTCTACATCTATTGCTATTTAGCCGAAATGTTACAAATGGAAGTAAGACATTGAAAGAATTTATAAAATCCTGTTGATTTAAAACCATGTTTTTTTGTCTAAATAATATAAATTTAATGTATCTCTATAAGTAGACTGAAATGTTTATTTATTACATTTAAATAATTATTAATTTATTTCATTAAATGGTATGTATGTTAAATACACTCAGAAAAAAGATATGTTTGAACCAAATGTACCATTTTTTTATATTTACCCAATTTTTTGGTTAGTTCAAACAAAATTTGTTTAATTCAAATAAATATTTATTTGATTTAAATAACTGTTTGGTTTATTTTAATAAATTTTTTGAAGAAAGAAAAAATTTGATTTTGCTAAATAAACGTTTGGTTTATGCAACCAAATGTTTGGTTAACTGTATTTAAATGCATTTATTTTGTTGATTTATAACCAAAATTTGGTTGCTTCAAACGAATTTTTTTCTGAGTGTACAGAAATTAGATGTTTGCACCTTAACTTTATTTGATTAAATTAATACACTGTGTTAAAAAAAAAATATGACTTCAAAAAATTCTTATCGGACCTAGTAGAGTTTGTAGAGCATAAAAAACTGAAAAGAATGGTGTATATTTAATTGCTTATACACAATTCTTTTCAGTTTTCTATGCTCTACAAACTCTACTAGGTCCGATAAGAAGTTTTTGAAGTCATATTTTTTTGTAAAACAGTAATATTATCCGAATCAAATAAATTTTTTTAATGTACATATATGAAACATATTACAAGAATAAAATTATTTTTAGAGTTATGCATTCGCAAATACAGCATACGAAAGTAAATGGTTTAATTTACCATCGCAAAAAGCAAATTGTTTACTCTTACTTATGCAAAGTGGCAATAAACCTGTAGAAATAACAGCTGGAAAATTTGTCGTTTTTAACTTTGCACTATTTGGAAGCGTGAGTTATTATTAAACTGCCTTTCTGGTATATAGAAACAAATTTTATAAAAGCAGCAAAATTAAAACTTAATTTTTTTATTAAGAATAAAGAAATTAAAATTTTCTTCCAATAACTTAATTTTTATCAATGTTTCAATTAAAGGGGCATATCCAGTCTTGAAAAAAAAAACAAAAATTCAAGCTAATATAATACAGTAATAATTACAATAATTTCATTATTACTATTTAATTTCAGCTTATTAAAACTTCTTTGGGATATTTATCATTTTTAATAACTATGAGGAAGAATAACTTATAACCACTTCTACAGAATGGAGAAAAATGGTATAACAGCCTTAACAAATGTGCTTGAGATAAAATTTATTTCTTGTATTTGGTAATAAATGTTGCTAATTTTTAGATACAATTTGGAAAAATTATTTTGAACTAAAAAAAAAAATTAGTAGTAATTTTAAATTAAGTAAAAACTGTATAATTCAATTTAAATACTTATTGTACATATTTCTATCATAATCATGTTTATCTAGCATCTAAAAAATTCATTTATATAAGCATTTATTAATTATACACGCACGAGATGAAACTGAAATAAATAAAAGTTTATTCTGCAATTGAATTTATTATTGAATTAACTAGGATAATCAGCGATTAATCTCAGTGGGCCAGCACACATCCAAAAGCGGCCAAAAATCCACTTTAGAATTAAAAAATTTTGAATCTAATACTGAATTAAAATCACTCTATATTGTAAAAAATAAAGCACATTCAACATCGGAAAATTTTTTTTAATGCACTTGCTATTGTTTGTTAGTTGGGTGAAAATTTTCCAACTGGGCCACCTAAAACTGACTTTTCAAATTTAAAATATTTTTTTTCATAATCTATTGCAATTTTGAACTGCAACAAAAATGAACCTCTAGAAACTCATTTTGAACTTCAGGCAAAAAGCATCAAAATGAACTAGATCCGATTCATTTTGAGTTCAAGTTAAAATGACAATTATAGTCAATTAAGAAGCACGTTATCATAAAACCATTAATCAAAATCATTGTTTTCAATGAACAAACAGATTACACTTGAAAAAACTTTGTTTCTTAAATCCGATTCATTGAATTTATAGAAAACAAAATAAATTATTTTTAGGTTAGAAACTTCTGAATTGACAGAAATAAATACCAACCATGCAACACGAAACATGAAATTTAACGGCGCCACTGTCTAAAAACCAAAGATAATGGCGCCAGATTTAAACATGAAACTATAACCAAAAATAAAGTGTTATTCATTATAATAATGTAATGATTGTTATAACATATATTAATAATATATATTTATAATTATATAATGTATTATAATATATATAATATACTATAATTATATAATTGTAAAATATTATTATCTCTCGTATAAGATTAATATTATTAATATTAAATAAATATTAATATAATTAATGTAATATATATATATATACAAATCACCTAAAATTTTTGTTTAATTAATTCGAAAAATAACTCGGGGGTTTTTGGGGTCGCTGATTGAAAGTGGATCCGCTATTTTGAATTTCAGAAAACTAATGACAGATTCGTAATCAGCGACCCTAAAAACCCCGGAGTAACAGTTTTCAAGCAAATCGTTTCAATTTAAAAAAAAGTCCACCATATTAGATCCGCCATTTTGAATTTCGGAAAACTAATGACAGATTAACAAATAAGTATATTTGCGAATAAAAGAATTGTTAATAAATAAACAAATATTAATTGTTAATAAATAATCACATTTTATTATACATATTATAAACATGGGAATAAATTGTTAAGAATTGAAAATTCCCAATACTTTTTAATACCTGTGATCAAATTTGACCTCTAATAAATCAATAGTTGCTAAGCCACAAAGAAATATAAACACGTAACAAAAGTTTCGTCTACAATAAAATTTGATGTAGTAAATGTTGTACAATTCCAAAACAATAATATACCAAAGAAGTAAGTAAAGTACCAGAAATTAAAAAAGGATGATTGTCAATTTTAACATATAGAAATCATCCTCTCATTTCGTATTATTCTCTAGTCCCCTGATTCAGATTTTAAATTATCCTCAAGCAATCTATTCCCATTTTACAAGCCTACATAGATAAATATAAAGAGATTTTACAAAAATTATTGACACTCATCTTTTCTTGCAAAAAACTACGGAAGTCTTATTTTTTCAACGATTCTTAGTAATCAAAATTTATTTTTGGTCTTTAAAAATGCAAAAACACAGTAAGAAAATTTCAAAAAAAAAATTGCTTCTGTATACATTTTGTAATAATCAATTCTTTTCATAAATTTTGATTGTAATGAAAATTTTTTTTATTGAAACAGATAATGAAGTTACAAATTATTTTCCTGCTTTTCAACGTTGTGGCAGAATTTGAAATTAGCCAAAAGAATTATGTGACTAGATCTGAAATTGTACAAGAGAAACAAGAAAGTCGAACGAAATGGTCTCAAAACGTTATAAAGAAAATTAAAAAAGAATCAAAAATTTACCAAATCATGTTGATAGCCAAATGTGAAAATTTGATGCATAACAAAATAATTCAAGATCTACAAGAAAATCTGCCAACCTTGTATTTCAATGACACCTATTTGAAACGAGAAATACAACATCTTGAAAAAAGGAATTCTTTGAGAAATCCTCGAGGTACAACTTTGTTCCTTGTTGTCGAATCTCCAGAACAAGATAATACACAGTGGACAGAAGAAATTATGGCATTTATTACACACTTGTCAACCGTTCATAGTCGACCGAAGTGTTTTATTCTGCACTTTTTGGATTCTAATAAAACCTCGAATTACTCAAAGTTTTTGCAAAAAATGTGGCAAGATTTATTCCTAGACGTCACTATTCTTGATGTTATTAAAGAACGAGCAACGATTCATCATTTGAATCCATATGTTTCCTACAAATCAAAACACTTTACCAGTAAAACATCATTATTCCCTGACAAACTTCGAAATCTAAATGAACATTCATTAAAAATTGGAATTTTTAATCGACCTCCGTTTATAAAAATGAAACGAAATTCGACAAATTTTCCTGTTGATGTTGTTGGTCCAGATGCAGAAATTGGAAACTTTTTTGCTAAAATGTTGAATTATCAACAAATATTCGTACCATCGAATGAGGATGATTTTGGTAATTTTGATTGCAATGTAGATAAATTAGGTGGTTTTTTTTCTGAAATTCAACAAAATAAAATTCAATTCATTAGTGTATCGTCAGCAACAATCAGAAATGTATGCAATAAGGAATCTTTGGAGAATACAATTTTTTCTCTAGATCACTTTGTCGCAATAATTCCCACATTAAAGTCAAAGAATTTGTCCATTATGGTCGGAAACACCTTTTACTATTCAATTCTATTAACTGTTTTGATTATAATAACCAGCTGGATAATTGTAAATACTCTCAAGTTTGAGAAAACAATTTGGAATTGGACGATTGTTATTCAAATTGTATTTGGAATTACAGCAATGTATCAACCGATAAAATTAAAGGAACGTATCATTTTCGGATGCTTCTTGATAATTAATTTTTATTATTCTTTAAACATCTTAACCTCGTTGACGGATTTTAATTATCGTATGGAAGTGGAAAAAGAGATAAATACCCTAAATGATTTAATCAAAAGCGGCCTTCAATTTGGTTCTGAATTAGTTAAAATAATGGTATTACCCGGTGTCTTTAATCAACAGGATTTCACAGACTGGCTGAAAAATGCTCGAGCATTCACATATGAGGAATGTGTTGAATTTCTTTTAAATTACAAGAATGTAACTTGTATTATGGAATTGTCACACGCTGAATGGCACGCTGGATTTTACAGGAAACAAAATCTCGTGAAATTCATTCCAGAATTTATTCTTTCTGTAGGATATGGATTTATTTTGGAACCTGGATCTCCGTATGTTGAAAAATTTCAACAAATTCACAGATCATTAACGGAATTTGTATTATTGAAAAAATGGCAAATGAAGAAGGTACAGAATGCAACGAAGTACAATCAATTAATTACCATAACAGAGGAGAAATTAAAGGGGTTGGATGAAAGTAATGATGAATGGAAAGTAAATTCATTGCTAATTGGAATACTAATTACTGGTTTTTCCGCATCGATTCTTTCATTTGTTGTTGAACTGGTCATTGATAAATGGAAGCGTAGACAGAAATGTAAAAAAATCATTGCATCTAAACCAACAAAGTGATTTACATTATTGGATTTTTTCGATAGAATATTAAATGAAAACCTTAAAACAAACATAACGGATTTTTAGTGGTATACGAATTCTTTCAAATATTAATGGATTTACATAAAATTTAGTATAAACTTCATGCTACCCTAGATAACAAGTTTTATGTAAATCCTTTAAAGTTTGCAAAAATTCGTATACCATCAAAAATTCAATGTTTTTTGAGATTAGGAAAAAATCCTGACGTGATGGAGCAAAACGGACATTAGAGAAGTGTTTGGCGGCACAAAATACGTAAGGGGTAGGATAGTATCATTCCTAAAACCCGATCATACTTTGCAATACTTTTTTTTATTGATTATTTATAACATAGTTTAGTTACGCTGGAAAATTTTTTCATTAAAACGAATATCTTCCTTTCATCAAACTTGACCTCTGATCAATCAATAGATCAAAAAACATTTTTTGTAATTGCCGTTACTAAGCTACCAGAAAACAAATACACAACAAATGAAAAAATCAAAATATAACTCAATGTAGTAAAGTTTTTGCAATAGACAGTAAGGATTTATTTTTTTTATTTAAGACAGTCAAAGGTAAATGTAAAAGAAATGCAAAAAATTAAAAAAAGCATTACTGTCTATTCAAAACCATACAAATTTATTCTATATTATTTAATTTGAAAGTGTAAATTATTCTGAAAAAACATTTATTATTATTTTTGCATTGTTCTGTATACAACAGTAGTGTTTGAAAAAAAGGAAAATAAAAATTACAAATA